AGCACTTTTTCCTTGTGACAGCTACTAGATTTACAATAACACTTCCTCAGCAAAAATGTTTTCTAACTTCTCAGCGATAACTTCTACTTCCTGTTATCTCAAACTGACACCGTTCACAAGCATAATCTCGATAAATACTCCTGCTCCTTTAGCGTGTCTGGCATCCGTATCACTACGTATTTTTAGATGACATTTTGACTGACAACACAGACACATTATTTTCCCCTTTTCTTCTTCTTCTCGCTCCCACACGTACAGACACACACACACATGCACTCTCACATATCACAAAAGTTATGACAGCTGACCTTGTGTACTTAGACGAGCAGGCGTGTGAGCGAGAGCCTGAGGGCAACCGTGTGCCTGTGCGTGTGTGTTTATGTACGTCTCGGTGTGTCTAGATGGTGTGTATATGCGTGAGTATGTGTGTGCTGTTTAAATATAGTAAATTCCAGTGGGTTTTTCTTTGCTCCCTGGGATCCTTGCGAACCACAGTGGGAGCTTCAGGGAAAACTGAGGAAAAAAAGAGAATGCAAAAGAGAGAGCGCAGGAAAGCGCAATTAGAGAGACTTTGTATGTATTAGATGGCAAAGTAGAAAAATGAAGTTGAGAAGATATGTTCAGGAGAAATTTGACTGAAGATCTTGTAATCACAGATGGGAAACTGAAAAAAAACCTTTTCAGACATAGATGACATCTCATTGGAGACAATTCAAACACGCTGTACGGAGTCTTCATTTGACTTCTGACTCCAATATATATTTGATGCCTGACACTTGACCTCATTAGCAGTGAGAGTGGCAACTTTCCCACTGGCACTGCAGGCTTATTAGCCTTCCTCGATTTCTAAAGCTTGCTTCTGCGCTGCATAGACAGCAGACGGTGAACAAATTCAGCCTGACCTGAACTCCAATTACAGAGCAGGAGACAATGGCCGAAGGTCACTAATGAGACCTGAGTGGCATAAAGCACGAATCCTCCCAGTGGTTGGACTGTCTGTAATCCTACAGAGCTGAAATGGTTAAAACCATGTTGGAGAAACGTGTTCATTGTGTAGCTGTGCTGAGGTGTGTGGAGAAGTAGACTGAAAAAAAAAAAAGGAAGGAAAATGAAAAGTAAATTGCTAAATAGTAAAATAAACTACAATGTGCTGGTTCCAGTTAGTGGAGTGCCTCTGTTCCATGTCATGGAGTCAGTGTTATTGTTGCCTCCTGCTAGGGCTCAGTGATTGGAGGTTCGAGTGGCGGGTACTGGAGGTTACAGGGAGCTGGGGAGTTGAGCTTGGACCTGGCATGTGTCTCAGGCAGAATAACTAGAATCACACTTCAGTATCTACTTTCTCAATACTACATATGTAAGTCACGGTCAGTGCATGTAATGTGACCTAAAAGTTTGATAGACACTGAGAATTTTTACTTCCCAGACATCAGTTTTTCACACAGGAAACTCATCCCAGATCTTTCTTGCGTTAGTGGTTCTCTACGTGAATTGCTGCCACTATACGTACATCCAGCTTTGAGGTCTTATTGTGAACTTTGAGTGTTAATGTTAATTATCAGAGGGATATATTATGTTTTTTTATTTTTATTTTTAAAATGTTATTACAGCACCTCTCATTACTGCAAAATAATGTATTTGGAAGTTTTTTTTTCTCCGATGAAAATGGAAGACTTAGGTGTAACTCTGCACTCACCCCTTCACCACTCGCTGCAGCTCGAGCACACCAGCTCACTGATGACTTCACTCAAACACTGTATAATCACTCGACACTACGCAATGACAAGGTATGATATGGAGTAACGGAGCCAAATGTGTTTGAAATCTGTGAACTGTGAAGACTGTTAATAACATGAAAGGCTGAAACCTGCATGTTCATGGGATTGGTTCCTTAGACTTGCTATGTATGAAACCCTACAGATCTTGTTCCATGTTTTCGAGGCGCTCATCGGTACACTGCAGTTTCTACCTGGAAATGTTTAGTACGAGCATTTACTGCTGATTTTTTTCATAATGTCTCTTCTAGAATATACAAAAAATAACACCATATCAACACTTTAAGGTATATACAAAACTGCCTCTCATCAAAGGGGGTCTTTAATGTGTAATTTCATATTTAATCATTAGTGATGATGACTGAATAATAAAACATTTAGTAATATGGCATCGTTTTTTTACATTGTAGGTACTCTAAATTCTTTAAATAGGTGTATTTTGCTAATAAATGTATTCAGTTTTGTCTGTTTTTTCATTGCGGCGAAGTATTTTTGTACCAAGGCACTGCTACATTTGGTTAAGTAAGGGATCTGAAACCACCTTTTACCTCCGTGAACAATTGGGCCGAACTTCATGTGTGTGTTTATCCAGGTACGTGTTTGTTATGTAACTTGAATCTGCAGTAGCAAACAATTCTGCACTAACAACCGTAGTTGACTGTCCTCCAGGGCACAACTAGCAGCTTTCGTCTTTAAACACACAGCTGTGCATGTACACAATGTACACACACACACACACACACACACACACACTTGCCTTTTTGACATCCTCTCTTGGTTCTTTAGGAACTTGTCAGCTCAAATGAATGTCTTAAATGCCTCCGTATCTTCTCCTTCTCCGGTTGATCAGACCTTAACTGCAACAGACCTCAGCCCAAACTCCACATGTTTACTGACAAAACTAGACCATGTTTTGAATTACAGTACCTATAAAAAGTACTGAACCCCCTTGGCAGTCTTCCCTTTTATTGCTTTTCAAAATGGAAACATGGTCAATTTAATTTGCTTTTTCTGACAAGAATTTACAAAAAAAAAAGACACTTTCATGTCAAAGTGAAAACAGATTTCTACAAAGCAATGTCAATTAATTAAACACATAAAATGTCAAATAAGTGTTTGCATAGGTTTTTACCCCTTTAAAGGGACTCACCTAATTCAAAACAGGTGCAGCAAATTGGTGCGAGGAGCCGCACAATTAGTGAAATAGGAGATCACGCGAGTGCAGCGGTTTAATTACAATACAAAGACACCTGCATCTGGAAGGTCCAGTCACTGGTGAATCAGTTCTCCTGGCTATCACTACACCGTAAGAACCAAAGAATCCTTTAAGTAACTCTGTAAAAATATTACTGGAGAGCATAAGTCAGTGGGTGATACAAGTAAATTTCCAAGCCACTGAATATCCCTTTGAGTACAGTTAAGTTTAGTGATAAAAAAAGGAAGGAGTACGGCATATGTGAAAATCTTTCTAGAGCAGGCTGTCTTAAAAAACCAAGTGACCATGCAAGAAGGAGAGCAGTGAGGGAGGCCACCAAGACACCTATGAGTCCTCTGAAGGAGTTACAGGCTTCAGCGACTGAAATGGGAGAGACTGTGCATAGACCAGCTGTTGTCTGTTCTACTCCAATCAAAGCTTTATTGGAGAGCGGCAAAGAGAAACCGACTGGTGGAAAAAGCTCATAATAAATCTCAACTAGAATTCACCAGATGTCATGTGGGAGACTCTGAAGTCAACTGTAAGAAGTTTCTTTTGTCTAAACAGACCACAGTTTTACTTTTTGGACACCAAACTAGATGCTATGTTTGGCAGGCACCGAACACTGTATATCATCACAAACACACAACCCCTACTATGAAGCATGGTGGTGGCAGCATCATGAAGTGGGGATGTATACTGGCAGCAGGCACTAGGAGGCTTGTACAGGTAGAGGGTTAAATGAATGCAGCAAAGTACAGGGATGACCTGATGTAGTCTGCAAGAGAAGTGCTATTAGGAGAAGATTTGTGTTCCAGCCAATGACCTGAAGCCAAAGTTACACAAATATTGTTTAAAGACAATAAGGTGAATGTCCTAGAGTGGCTGAGTCAGAGCCCAGACCTCAATCCATTTGCATACTTTTTATAGGTACTACATACTTTCACTGATTTACATAAATATCACTTCTTCCAAATATCTATGATATTTCATGGATGGATGTGTTTTCACTTGTAGTTTTTATTTTATCCCATAAAATGTTTTTATTGGTCAAATTATCCTAATCATTTTTGTATGTGTTCTGCAGCTCAGCTGACAACCTTGTAAATGGGTCATCGACTTCAAAATATGTTTTTTGTTTTCTTTTTTTAATTGTGTCATTTTGGAAAGAGAGGCTGTCGCAGGAGATCTGTGCAGATTTATCACCGCTGCAGGCTCAGACCGACTGCATGGAGGTGCAGGTTCAGTCATCATCACGCCAAAGATGTGTGTACCGTGCTGCGCTGTGACGTGTCTCGGCCTGATAGGATTTCTAACGAAAGCTCTTTTTGTTTTTGGCCCAGCGCAAATTGGTTTCATAACAAGCTTACATAAATGGGAAAACAAGCACAATTCTACACAACACTAGCACACAACAGCTAAAGTATCACACTGATGTCTAGTGAAAACCATTGACTTTAAGTGATCCTCAGTCGGTTGCACTACAGTTGGAACGGCAGAGTGCACACAGTTAGTTTTAAGTATACACTGCTGCTGTAAATTGTTGAAGTCATAACATTAAATGAATCCGTGTTTGCTTCCGTCTGTTTCCAACAGATGTGACAAATGGCCCAAAGTGCTTCCGGATATCAAACCGTTTTCATGAATTCAGCGCACACAGAAGTGCACACACTGCTTTAACAAATCTGAAGCCATGCGCTATCATCCGTCCATCACTGCAGTCTTGTTTTCACTGGCCTACTTGGCACAGCCACTGCGCCTGGCTGCGTTACCTACCCTGGCAAAGTTGCCAACGTGCTTCAACCAGCTTGTGTAGTATTGCCACGGTGGGCTGGGCACAGATGGAGCTGTGTGTGTGTGTATATGTACGTATTATACCTGCACTCCTGTGTGAATGTATGAGTGTGTGGAGGTGTGAAGCAAACTGTTCTGTGTGCTGGTTCTCATTAGAACCCAAAACTCTGGGGATGAGCAGACTGTAAGCTTGATTAAACCCAGTTGTGCAAATCCACAGACACGCATTTGTGAGCACAAAAACATTTCGTTTGGTGTAATTACTGAGTGCCTTTCGATGACCATTTTAGAAATTATATATCTATTTTGCAGAGAGAGTGCGACTATTTGTTTGAATATATTTAAGAATTTTCTAATTCACATGCCTGTGTCTGCATATGCATGTGTTGGTGCATCTCTGTGTTTGCCAGCATGTTTGTTTGTCTGTGTGTGCGTAAGTGTTTCCCCTTCACATCGTGTTGCACGTACACGAGTGTGCGCTGGTTTGTGCGTTTGTGTGTAGGTGCCAGTGGGTGGGAGTGTGGAGGGAGGAGGACTCTGAGAAGAGAGGATTGTGTGTCCCTCTGCTCATTAATACCATGTGGAGCTCTAAGCAGTGGTGGACTGCTGCTGAGCTTCCGGGCAAAGTTTTAGAATACAAATCAGCAGCACACAACTGGCCTGAACTGGTGCTGAGGAACAAAAAAATGTAATTTTTAGGGTTTGAATTTCAAGCAGAAGCCACTTTTTTCAGAGCGATCCATATTTGCCGCAATAATTTACAATAATTAAATCTGTCATTGTGCTCAGTTCAACTTTGTATTCATTAAAACATTTCTAATTATACTAATGTGATGTTTTACTGCATCTTTGTTAAGCAGAGAGGAATGCAACAGGCCTCAAGTGTCAGTGGACCTTCTTTAACCCCGACCTTTACTGTGTTACTTAATCTGTCTCATGGAAATACAAGCCCCACAAACATTACAATGATTAATGCAACCTGGGAGCTGTAATGTTTAAGGGAGAAGAGTTAATGCAGAGCTGCTACCATAAGTTACCTTTACGAGTAGCGGGACTGCTGAAACATCTAGCATCAGTCAGACAGATGCCAGTCCAAATGTCACCCATAAGCCTTCCCTCCCTTTCCCCTTATTGGTGCCCATTTCACTTCACAGTGGTCACTGACTGGCCACCTCAGTGCGTTCTGAGAACCAGCGGTTGTTCGAAGGGGTCGATGAATGGCGGAAGAAGAACAGAAAATGAGGTTCCTCTCCTGCTGTGAGCTGTGCTGTAAACTCGCAACAGCTGTGTGGGATCCTCCGACAGAAACACTGAACCCCTGTACTGCATCTCACGTCTCAGATCCCGTCTCCATGGTCATTCACTCTGTTTATCGCAAACTAAAGATTTTCTGCCCGGATCACAAAGTCCCCGTCAAGTTGCCATGTTCTCTTACATTGCAACCCCCCCGAGGCGCCATTATTTTCTCTCCTGGTGCTCCCTATTATTCCCTCACAGGCTTGCCTCGCCACTCTCCCCAACAGCGCTGTGCAGGAGTCCAGTAACTATAAAACATGAGGTCTGCAGTGAAGTGTTGGAATCAGTGAGAAAGTTGGCGTCCATTATCGCAGAGCTCTGTAAAACCTTACATGCTAACATCAGTATGCTGCTGCTCAATAGTTATACAACACAAAATCCTTAATGTCTACCTCAGTGTGAAAGTTGGGAGACCACCAAAAGTCTTCAAATGGATAAGTCTTTCCAGTGATTGTTGTTGAGAGAATATCTTGTCTAGTTGTTGGGATTTTTTAGCCTTGACATGGCCGATCGTCCGACAAACCGGCATTGTTATCCACAGAGCCGTGCTTGGCTAAAATTATCTAATAGGATTTCTTTTAATAGTCCTCTTGTACTGATATTGATGATTCTTCTGTGCGTTTCTTTACCTCAGGTCCCTGGAGGCCTTGGACTTGTCCTACAACCAGTTCACCTCAGTCCCGATGAATCTGCCTCGCCCTCTCCGTAAACTAAACCTCCAACACAACAACGTCAGCCACATCCCTGCCTTCACGTTTCGTCACATGCGCCCCGGTCTGCAGTCCCTCCATCTGTCCCACAATGCCTTGAGCAAGGAGGGCATCGATCGTTTCTCTTTTGTTGGAATGTACCGCTCGCTGGCTGAGCTCCTGCTGAACAACAATCGCTTGAGAGAGGTCCCTCGCTGTGTCAGGCAGTTCAAGAACCTGCAGGTGCTGAGACTGGATGACAATCAGATCAGGTAGAACAGCTTTTCCCACAAAGTCAGTTTTGAAGATTTAATTCTGATTTAAAAAAAATGCCAGGATAAGCTATTGTAAATGCTTGTTACCAAATCCTGTCGTCATGCCATTAGCTCTGCTGATGTCGCTCCCTTTTGGAAATGACTCTAAGGAGTTTGGCAAAGAAGCAAAGAAACATTTCCTGGCACATTCACGATCTTATGCAAATTTCTTTCTTTACATTTCATTACTGCTCTAGGTTTGTTGAGAGCGCCTGTGTTTGTGTCCATCTAAATGTAAATATGCTGTGATTTCAGGCTGGTGAGGCAGTGGGGAGTGTGCCACCCTAGTAATTCTGGCTCGACCTTGGCTTCGGTCCATCTGGAAAATAATTTGTTGGAGGTAGAGCAGATTCCACCAAATGCCTTCTTCTGTGTCACGGATTCCCAGGGACTGGTCCTCTATCCACAGCAAGGCCACACAAATGACATATGAACGGATACACACAATATACACTTGTGCATCGACCTGACATGCAGCTAAACAATTCTTCTCATTTGTGCATCTTTGTAATCACCTTAGAGTCACACATGGTTAGCAGAAATATATTGTTATCACGCTGTTCTCTTAAGTCAGTCAGAGCTTTCATTTTAACATCCCCAGACCCATCGTTTCTTTCATATTTCAACTCTGATTGCAGAAATAACTGTAATATTTTGGTATGTAATGAAACAAGTATGTAATTTACACCATCATCGAAACAATCACGATATAAAACGCTCTTAAAATGTAAAGAGGATAATGCATTACAGTGGAATCGGAATCCAAAGACAGGTTTTACTCTGCCTTTTCATTGATGGTACTTTGGGAATTTGAAGACTGAAAAGGATTAGCCCACGTCTCTAGTCTAAGTCTGAGGTACTTGCAGGGTTTGCAGGTGAAGCCTTTAATCAGAGTAAGCTGAAATAAAGGAAGGGTGGTTGGATGTTATGGAGGCAAATCTGAAAGAAAGTTAAAACGCGTGGTGACACAGGGTGAACCTAAGGGGGCCATTAGGAAGAAAAATATAAACATCATGCTGGTTCTCTATCACCAGATGAGCTCCAACATAAACATCCACCACTAGTTGCTCAGTAAAAATGCACAAGGTCGCTTTGACTGTGAAGGGGGCCTCATTCAGGGCCTCCAAACATGTAGAGGTGACGTCAGTCACTGTAGGATTGTGTACAGTAATTGGGGTACAAGCATGTATGCGTGAGCGCAGGAGGCCAGCCCAGTATTTGGGCTACCAGCGGGGGGGGAGACGAGAAAAAGGTGAGGAACATGTTAGGGGGAGAGTGGAGAGCTAAGGGACAAACATGACTTTTGAGACACAATACAGCGATTGTTCTTAGAAAGTCTCAAAGCTGATCAGCGAAAAACGAGAGGAGTAGCAGTTCATGTATAGTTGAATCCAGTAAGACGTGGCTGCAGGGCAGAGAGGAGGGGAGGTTTAACAGAGAGAGAGAGAGAAGATGAAGGGTGTAAGGCAGAGAGCTGGATCACATTCAGAGTCCCGTTTGGGAATGAAAGCCACCGGAGCTCTGGTGCCCTGCTAACCTTATTGACAGAGTAAATTCACAGATCTCAGTGTTCTCTTTCTCTATGCATTTATCAACACCACTGGATCTCGCTGTCCATCCTTCCAGCTGCTTGTCCCCCACCTCACCCCCTTTCCCCCGTCTCTCTGCCTCCTGCACAGGGTGAAAACACAAAGCACCATTATTCTGGTTTAATTAAAATATCTGTGTTCTTGGATAGATACTTTGGGCTCTGTGATATGAGTGTGACACGACTCACAACAGCGTGTTTGTTGCCCTAAAATCAGCCACGACAAGAAAAAAAACAAACAACAGTCGCACTCTTGGTTTTGCCCTCTTATTTTTTTCCCCCCCAGAAACAACTCTCTCTTTTCTTTTTATTCACCTCATATTGTATTAAATCAGTATCTCCGCCAAGCAATGTGAACTGAACATGACAGCCAGACATCTTGATTTACGGCGTAGTTAGCTGCTTTCCATCAAATCCTGTATGATAAAATGACGCTCAAGTGGTGTCTTTAATTTGTCAATCCACCCGTACAAAGACAAAGCACATTTCACAATATATCACTCAGAGTAATGAATATAATTAAAATGATAAAATGTGGAGTCGTGCTCGGCGTATAAAGTTGTAATTTACAGACAGCGAACTTGCCGGGTTAACTAGCTGGCTCCAGATATAAGGTTTCAACAGGGAGCAGTGTTTCTGTGGCTCTAAAGGAAGAACAGAAGGTTCTCCCGCGGACGTCGGAGTCATAAACACATGCGGAGTGAGGCAGGGAGGGGGCAAATAGAGATAGACAGTTAATAACATAGAGAATGAAAGTGAACACAGCACATGTATGATCTAAATATGTAATATGAACAGACGCGCACATATTCATTCTTTTCACTCTCTCTGCCTGGGCGTGTAATCACATGTTCTGTTCTCGGTCTTGTGCATGTGGTGCAGTCTCCTTTCTCCATAATTGTACAGTCATTTTGTAAACAGCACATTACTGTCTAAGAAACTACACATTCCCACTTATACTGCAGTTCCTGCATGTACAGGCCGAGCCGAAGCTTTTGCACAAAAATGACCAAGCAGCATCAGTTCGCTTTTTCCCATCTTTGTAGTTTTTTTGCGCAGACAGATGCTTTGACGATAAATCCATAAAGCTCCGCTCCACGGCCTGTCAGATGGGCTGTTTTGAAATTTGACAGGCTTGCCACTTCAGTGCCATACATCATACTGAGTACACTGACATGGCTAAATTGTTAAACCAGCATCCCATCACACCCAACAGATGTTTTGCATCCCGTCGAGCTCAGGCCGGAGTCCGGTTATGAGCGGTTGACCGTGGAGCGGTGTCAAGCTTCTCTTCTCCCATGTACTGTCTGTCCTATCCAGAGACAGCAGCTTCCTGTGTTTGTTATTTGAGGGGAGGGAGGGAGGTGGGGAGGATGGGGTACTGGGATGGAAGGGGAGGTTCTGGCTCGGGGAATTAAAAAGCACCAATATGTGCAAAGAAAAACAGCAAAAAGAATGAGTTTTTCCTGACTCAAATAGTGATCAGAGCAGCGAAAGAGGATGGCTGCATGGTGGGAAAGTGGGGACAGCTCCTTTGCTAGAACATGAGATTGGGTTCCAGTGTTAAGGGTCAACTATTCGGGGGTCAACAAGAATGTGCTTACTGTAGTGTGTAGAAGAGGCAGGCACTCGGCCACCAGCGCTGATGTGTTCATCCTTAACAGCCAGTAGCGTCAATGAGTAAGAAATAAACTGTTACGGACGCCGGATCGCCGTATGAAACACAAAAAACCTCATCATCATTATTGTCATTTCTCTGCTGCACACAAGGGCACGTTTACTGCACGGCAACACCTATGCAAGAGTCGGCAAGTGGGTGTGCTAATCTCAGGAGACACGGCAGTCGAGCGCTCGTGGGGCAAAAAAGAGTTTAATTTGGATGCCAAGCCCTCTAGCTACAGACCAACACCATAATCAACTGAACCACAGCGAGGGAGATACAGGCACACTGAGAAATAAAAGTGCGAGAAAAAGCAGAGCGAAAGACTGAGGCTACAAAACAAGGGAAAGAGCGGATGCAGACATAGAAGGAATGTAATCTGCATAGGCTTTTATCAAAACTCTGTCCCCTGCCAACAGCCCCTGCAGGGCATTGATCTGGCCTGCATGCCTTTTCCACCACTGTGAACACTGTGAGACAAAAGGGAAGCGTATAACTAAATAGAGATACAGACAGGAATGACAGTCTCTGATAGCAGTGATGATAATGGTTAATGTGTAGACAGTATGTATGTAAATGCAATGTGGCAATCTTTCTACAAGATCAGAGAAGTCCCCGGATGCCGTGGCTGAGCCAAACTCGCCGCTTCGCTCTGGGTGTTGGCAAAACGGGGAGGAAATCAGAGAGAGAAAGAACACTTCATCCTGCAAAAACCAAAAAAAAATTAATAGAAAACTGTGTGGAGGCACAAAATCATACGTTTTTATGACCGCAGCCCTAGAAATAAGCTTCCTCCGTGATTTTGGTGGAGCTCAGTTCCACCGTTCTTTCCGGGTGCTAATCAGAGAGAAATGTGTTTCTGCATGTTGTGCATTTCAATAGCGTTGGATGCCACGAGCTGCTAACCACCAGCGATTAAGAATAATGTTAATTATCACATGGCAAGCATCTCAAAATGTCTGCAAACAGAAGGAAACAAACAAAAAAAACCTCAATTCCGGTGGGGTTATTAAAGCTGAAATTTCCCCCTTTCCTGGGATTTCCTTATGGCTGATTCTTTATACAAACCAACACAGTTAGTGTGTATATAATTAAAATGGATGTTTTTTTTTATCATCCTAAGATGACAAACGTGCATATTTTTGTCAAAAAACTAAAACGATTGTTAAAATCTAATTTTTATTTAACCCTTCAAAGCCTCCTAAAACTGAGACGCAACTCTCAAAGAGAACTTCATAAGGTACACATTTTGGTTAGATTGTAAAAATGTCATTATATGAGCCACAATGTGGGCTATTTTTACTTCCCCGGTGGTGCTACTGCATATTGTAGTTGTACCGTAGTGAAGTCTGTCTTAGGTGTTTAAGACAATACCATGTTTAAGCTTGTGTTTTAATTGCCGGTGCTAAAATTACAGAGTCTTTCATCTAAATTGTCTTCAGGAGCAGTTAAACATGGCAACTGCAGATCTCAGACAAAGTTCAGACAATGTCCACGGTCTCCTTCGCTTCTTTTTTTTTTCTGTGGGGAAATGCTGTAAGTAATCTTAGAGACAATGGGAATAAGCTCAGATGGACTGAAATCCTTCTTACACTGTGTCTGGATGGAGTTTTTGAAGGAATACAAGGCTGTGTTAGGATTGAGGTGACTGCAAGGTGTTTCTTTTATTTTGTCCACCCCTGCCCCTTGGGAGTTAATGATGTTCTTGGTGCCATAATATTCATCCTGTGGCAAGATAAAGTTTTTTTCCCACCATATTGTGACTGTAGGAATTATTACTTGTGATATCAGAGCTGCAATAGAGCAACTCTGCCTCCCTCCTCTTTCCTCCTCCTCCTCCTCTTTCCTCCTTCCTCCATCCAAAAAGGGGAGAAAGGAGGCTGGCTTGACTTTACGGGCTCGACCCCCCCTTGTGCGCAGTCATTTCCTCGACTTGGACCCAAAGGCGCGCACACGGTGGCCTGACACGGTTCGCTGTGGCGCACAGGAGCTGCGGCTGAATGTCAGAGGAGCAGCACCGCGATAATCCCTAAATGTGATGAAAATATAGGATTTTGAAAGAAAAGGAAAAAAAAAACTCCAGGATAAACTGACGCACAGAAGGAGAAAAACATTCTTCAACCTGCTTTTTTCTTTTTTCTTTTTGGAATTTGGAATTAATATCTTATTTCTATCCAAAAGGTAGGGAAGTTGGGTTATTTTTTTTATATATGGGCTGTTTAGTTTTCTTACAGTTTGGAATCAGTTTAATTCCTCTTTCAGGCTGATTTTACTTTGCAAAATGTGTATTAGATAAAAAAAAAACACTTGAAAAATGAAAAAGTTGATAACTCGCTATTTTTTGTTTCACTTTTTTACACCTTTACACTTTTATATTTTCCTGTACAGATGTAACTCATGTTGCTGACATCAAATTACTTATGATTTTGCTACAAAATGCCTTTTTAAAAGTTCATCTGCCCTCCATTATTACACCAAACTGAT